TGCTGAGAGAGTGTCGTCCCTCTTGGGAACTTGCCCCTCCACTGTGACTCTTGTAAGGCAGGCTTGAGTCAGAGTCTCTGTCCTCGGTCTCTGCCTTCACATTGTACATAGACGGAAGTCAACACCTAGACAGCTTAAATATCAGCCCAAGGCCATCCAAGGAGTGGCGGCAGGACAGAGCCAGGACTCCCATCTAGGGCACAAGCTCCTGTCCTTACCTGCTCTGTGCCACTAAAGCCCTGGTTGTGGCTTTATTTTAACTTGCAGTTGGTTGACTCTGATGGCTTTGCCTGGTGTTGGTCTTCTTGTCCCTGATCAGCATGTGGGAGAAGTGAGAAGCCTTTGACCTCTGGCTTAGTGCTCGGAGAGTTTCCTTCCCCATGGCTGTACCTTCTGCTTTAGGGATGCAAGATGAGCTATCTTCGGAAGCTGTCATCCAAAATGCAGAAGTTGGCCATCTGTAGAAGTGACAGCACTGGTTGTGGTTTGTGAAACACCACATGTTGGAGAAGTGTGTCTTTAGGAAGGTTATTAATACTTCCTTCATCCACGTGCCACCATGATTTTCTGCAAGGGAGAAGGAAAAGGCTCCCCCGTGTGCCTGTGGAGAGGGCTTCCTCCTCCGCTAAGCCCTGGCTTCCCATTCCTTCCTCTTTGCTAACACTTGAGTTGGCAGCATGTGGCCAGGACAGGACTGAGCCTTACCGCAGGGACTGCACTGCCAGATGACAGATTTTGGGTTGTGTTCTAGGTGCACGCGTGGCAGGGCTGCAGCAGGAGAAATGGGATGGAAGTCAAACTGAGAGGCTTATCAAGAGCATGCCGCTTGAAAGGCAGGGAAAGGTTAGAATCTGAAACAGGAATGAGGAAGCGTTAGGCTGGAGCATTGTGTTCCAACCCTGGATGCAGACTGATCACAGGGAGTTAAAAAAAGTCCCAATGAGGGTGGGTGTTTAGCCTAGCATTTAAGACATCTACTGGCTGGCGCCACGGCTCAATAGGCTAATCCTCTGCCTTGCGGCGCCGGCACACCGGGTTCTAGTCCCGGTTGCCCCTCTTCCAGGCCAGCTCTCTGCTGTGGCCCGGGAGTGCAGTGGAGGATGGCCCAAGTGCTTGGGCCCTGCACCCCATGGGAGACCAGGAGAAGCACCTGGCTCCTGCCTTCGGATCAGCGCGGTGCGCCGGCCGCAGCGCACCGGCCGTGGCGGCCATTGGAGGGTGAATCAACGGCAAAAGGAAGACCTTTCTCTCTGTCTCTCTCTCTCATTGTCCACTCTGCCTGTTAAAAAAAAAAAAAAAAAAGACATCTACTGGGGCCATAGCTGCGGCATAGTGGGTAAACCCACCGCTGGCTTCAGATCAGTGCAGCTCCAGCCGTTGTGGCCAACTGGGGAGTGAACCATCGCATGGACGACCTCTCTCTCTCTTTGCCTCTCCTCTCTGTGTAACTCTGACTTTCAAATATGACATCTACTCCCCATATCACAGTACCGGAGTTTGACAACCAGCTCTGGTTGTGCCTCCAGCTTCCTGCCAATGCCAACCCCAGTGGTGGTGACACAAGTAACCAAATTTCTACTGACCACATGGGAGACCTGGATTGAATTCCCAGCTTCTGTCCTTGGCTCTGGCCTAACCCTGCTGAGGCAGGCATTTGGGGATGAGAGCTCTCTCTCTCTCTCTCTACCTCTCAAATAAATACATTGAATGATAAAACAGTCCCCAATACCCAGGTTGTATCCCATGCCAGTTACATCAGAATGACTGGTAGTGCAAGCCAGATGTCATTTTCTTAAAAATCTTTCAAACATTTATTCATTCATTTATTTATTTGAAAGGCAGAGTGAGAGGGAGACAGACAGAGACCTTCCATTCCGTTCATTCACTCCCCCAGCGCCCACCACAGCCAGGACTGGGCCAAAGCAGAGTAGCGCTCTGATACACAATGTGGGCATCCTAATCTGCAGCTTAACCTGCGAGGCCATAATGTTGCCCTTGTTTTTGTTTTTTTTTTTTTTTTTTAATGATCCTCTGATGATTTCAATGTGCAGCAAAATTAGGGACCCACAGAAACCTGCTATTCCTAGATACCACCACGATCAGGTATTCTGCTTTCATTCTTCTGGGCTGGGCCGTAGGCATGGGAGATTTTAAAAAGCTGCTCAGGGGACTCCAGCACGCAGGCGCTGTCCCAGTAGGTGATGGGAAAACAGCCCTGCAGGCAACGTCAAGGTGCCTGCAGCTGGGGCTCTGTTCCTACTGTATGGTCCATCTCTCACACGAGGAAGCTTCTGTCGCAGGAGAATGAACCTTGATGGATTTCAGAGAGGGCCAGTAATGGTGGCCACCAGTTACTGACCACTGGATGGCCAGGCAAGGAAAACACGTTGAACAGGAAATCCGACACCCTCAGGAGTGCAGGAATGCTTATCATTGCGTTGTTGTGCCCTCTAGGC